ACAACAATCATTTTACCCGAACGCGTGGTGTTCTCCCCAGTGCCAGGGTTTTCATACGACACCAGGCAATACCCCCACTTCGTGGGGGGGCATTACAAGCTCTACCAAATATCCAAACGACTCTTCGCGACCACCCAAACCCAGCTTCCCGCCCTATGACGTTGGGACACTTCACTTCGTGGCGTGCGGACGACCGTGGCTACTACACTGGCGTGGGGTACACACCCACAGAACTTGGTCACTTATTCGGGGCGCGCATGTGCCCAGCATGGTGCAATTGTGCCATACAATACATAATACAGAGAGACGAATGTGTCCCGCATGGTATTATTTGACAGGGATGATGGCCCTGGCAGGTGCGCAACCGTTGTCGCAGAAGTTCGAAAAAGTTGCTCGCAAAAGCCCGTTTGACAGAAATGTTTAAAAAGTGTTGGGTTTCCTACGAATCCGCAAGAGCGCGCGGGATGAGATTTTGACATTTTTTTGTTGAAAAACCATTGGTTTTTTGATGTTTTTATGTTAAAATCGCTCCGAACACTAAGCTTTTGGAAGGATTTCGTCTTGCGCGCGCGAATGTCCACTTTACCTTATTTTTTGCAAGGGATTCTTGAAATTTGATTATATTAGAACAAGAAATGTCATTTTATAGTGTTTTTTGCAAGGGAAAACGGATTACAACAAAACAACCGGATCTTGATCAACTCGAATTACCTGAGGCTTCCTCACGAAAATGATGAAAACGTGGCTGCGGCCTAGGCGCGGCGGGGGGGGCGCGCACCAGGGGGCCCAACAATAATTATTCTTTAGAATTAATAATGTTCAACAACAACAACACCAACAACAACAACACCAACACCAACACCAACAACAACAACAACAACAACAACAGCAGCAGCAGCAGCAACAACAACACCAACAACAACAGCAACAACACCAAAAACCTCCTCGAACCCCAAACCTCGAACCAACCCCCTTCCTGCTGGCTGAGACCAATGCTGGGCCACCTCAGAACCCCCAGCCGGCTCGAAGCATGGATGGTTCAACCTTGCGCGATCCCAGCTCTAGTCGGCAGCGAGCCCAGGGGAGAAGTGGAAAGGAGAAGGCCCTCTAAGAAGGCTCGGACCCCCCCCAGCCTTCTGAGAAGCCTTCTGGACGCCGCCGACCCTCTCAGAAGGCGCAGGGACTTCTCTGAGCAGCCCCGCCGCCTTCCGAGGAGGCCTCCTCCCTCTCGCCTTCCCCCCCCCCCATCTCCGCTCGCCGCCGATCTATAGGGAGCCGTGCGGTGCTGGCCGAGCGGCCCCTGGCGGCGCTCCGCCCCGAGCGCCCACGGTGCGGTCGTCGCCGAGCGGGCACGGCACGGCGCGCGCGCCTGCCACACGCACGGGGGGGGCCTCCGCGCGGGCCCCCCGCACGGCGCCCCGGGGCAGCGCGCCTGGAGAGCGGCCTCTGGCGCGCGGACTGCGCGCGGGGACTGCCCCCCCCCCTTCGCTTGCAGTGGAGGCCAGTCCACGAGAACTCTTCCACGGGAAGCCCAGCCCTGAGACCTCAGGACGTCCATGGGTTTTTGGTGTGGGAGCGTCGCGCTTTCCATCGCAAAACAAGCGAAACCCAAGAAACCCAGGGCACCCTGGAGGCAGGCAGGGTGTTTCTTGGCATGGGCCCCCACTGCAGGAGGCAACTACAAGGAGGTCTTCGTCGGAAAGATCAAGGAGAATGCTCCCCTCCCCCCAAGGGGGCTGTTGCGCAGGAGAAGGCCGCGGACTAAGCGGGACTCCGCCGGATCAACCGGGACGAAGCTAGATGGAGCGGGATGAATCCAGGGTTCGGCCAGATTCCGGGCCTGGGCAAAGTCAGAATCTGACCTCCCAGGAGTTGCATCCGAACTTCACCAAGATGCCACCCTGGCGAAGGGTCCCTCCTGCGTGTAGCCGAGATCTCAGCGTGGCAGGGGGCCCCCACTCCGAGGGAGCCTCTGGAACTCGCTGGTGTCGGCCTGCTTCATCATCCCCAGGCTCTGCAGGCCCCGCTCGAATACGAGCTGGTGGGCGTCACACCTGGCAGAGGACTGCCGTCGCTCCTGCACCCCGCTACCCAACGTTCTTATCCCGACCCTCCGTGCTGGCAGAAACATGCAGGGGGGTCGGCATCGGGACGGGGTGGCAGATATGGTTGAACAGGGAGCTTGTCAATATAGTCCAGATGATGGAGGTCCGAGCTTGGGCGGGAAACCATCCTAGTTGGGTCGTTGTTAGGACTTGGACCGAACAAGAAAAGCCCCCCCTTGAAAACTCAGCGCGCCCTTCGACAACCCTCGCACGTCTCACTTATCAGCCATCACTGCGATTGAAGTCGCACTGCCACCAAGTGGAATGTAGAGAAACGAATTTGAACTCACTGGGTCCATTTCTGGTGCTGCGTGGCCTTCAGCAGGCTGCAACGACTTCCGAACCATGATGCGACATCGACCCAGATCCCCCACGGGCTGCGTAGGACGGACCTGGACCGGACAGGGATCGATGGCTTCCGAGCGGGTAGCCCTGGCAACACACTGGGGTCGCCGGCGTCGACCTATTCCTTCGGGGGCGCGCTGCCGAACTCGAGCCACGCCGAATTGAATGTGCCGTGCTCCAGGCAGCGTATCGGCCATGACCGGTGCTAATGGGCTTCTCACGTGCTGCTTCCACCCAGATACCCAGCGTCGTGAGTTGTCTAGCAGAACGGCTCTGGGCACATTCGGGCCTTCCCGGGGACAGGCCTGGTATCCTGGGCCGCCACTCAAAGGTCCCAGTGCCCAGCAGGGGCCCGCGAGGGCAGAGACTTGCCGAACACTTCCCGCCGCGCGTGTGTTCCACGAAGCGAGGATGTCAGGCCACTCAGCCGGCGAGGCGGCGACCCAGCCCCGCCCCGCGTGCCCCCCTTGCTTCTCCGGACGGGGCAAGGCAGGGACCATGACCATGACTGAGCGCGGAAACGTCGTGTCGATCCTGGCCAGCGTCGACCTAGGTCAGCGTGAATTCGTGCATCATGCCCGGGAATCGGCGGCTGACACGGATTATGACCCAGGTCGGCATGGACAAGATCCCGCGGCACCTTGGTCATGGTCCCCACGCTTCTTCCGTCGACTCTCGTCGCGTCAGCGATTCCACCCAAACTCTGCCGAGGTCGGCCGCGCTGCCCTGAACCCCTGCTGGCCGCGAGCCGCCCTGATAAATTGAACCCTTCCGCCAACTGCTCTTGCACCCTCCGCCGCCGCCGGGGGCACGAGGCCGACATCCTTGGGCCGACCCGTGAACGGCCAGGCACACTTCCAGAATGAGACTCCGCCCTTCGACCCCGTGAGCGACCGTAGCGGCGAGAAGGACCACTCCTGACAAGAACACCTGGTCCAACATTCGCGCAGCATCTGGTCGAGCCAGACCGTTCCGTGAGGGTCCTGGGGCCCGTGGCGTGGCGAACAGGGCCGTCGTGATTCTGCTCACCGATGCCTTGACGCTCGGTCTGAGAAGCGGAGCAAACAACGGCATCATACACACAAACTTTTGGGGGCTCCGCGCGGATTTCTCGGATCTGCGCTGGTCCCCTCCCTGGCGAGCGGAGCGCGCCACGGGCAGCGCCAGAGGCGCCGCCAGGGGGGCCCCAGCGCCGATCCAGGAAATAACTACGCGCGGTCTTCCAAAAGTTGATGTTTATGCAGTTGTTTGTTCTTCGACTGTTCCCTCCTTGGTCTGAGGGCCCGCTTCCGTTAAGAGCAACACAACCCACCCCCACCACCAGCCAGGGCCCCCACTCCAGATCTGGTGATCCAGGGGGGGGTGGGGGGGGTGGGGGGGGTGAGTGATTCTTGTCTTTTGGCCCTCAAGAGCGCCCAAAACACTCATCCCCTCCCCCAGCAATGCAGCAAGGACTCCATGGATTTCCAGGTCGAGAGCGGGGGGCCCGGCTGGGGGTGGGGGCGGGTTGTGTCCACTTCCGTTCACTTGTAGGACAGGAGTGCTGTCATGATAAGGTCGGCACAGGATGCGTTCCAGGATTCCCAGGAATAACTGGCGGCCCTCGTTTCTGAAGCCCGCATGGAACATTGAGAAAATTGGGATATGGGGGGATATGACACATCTTGGAACGTAGCATCGTCTCGACCTCCTGCCTCTCTAAACTTTTTCGTCAGCGGCGAGGCGGCGAAATCCGCTCCAGCGTGAAGCTAGATAGGGGCACTAAGTAGCCAGCGAGCAAAGAGGGAAGGGGGACAGCCGAGAGGAAGGAAGGACGCTCAGACGCCGAAGAGTTCGACGATGAGCAGCCGGGCGCCAGCCTCTCTAAACTTGGTGATCATACACTCTCAGCCACGCTTCTCCTCCCGTGGGGGCCGCCCCCCGCGCCCGGCGGCGGGCCGGCCTGCTCAGGCCTCCCGGGCGGGCGCGGCAGAGCTCCGCCAGCAGCATGGTGACCTTGGCGGCGCCGACGGGCGACGGACGACAGACGACGACGACGACGACGACGACGACGACGACGACGACGACGACGACGACGACGACGACGACGACGACGACGACGACGACGGACGACGGACGACGGACGACGGACGACGGACGACGGACGACGACGACGACGACGACGACGACGACGACGACGACGCAAACGCCGACGCCGACGCCGACGCCGACGCCGACGACGACGACGCCGACGACGACGACGGCGTCAAGTCCAACGTGACCAACGAGCCGGTACCGCACAGGACCCGATCGTTGCCATGCTGCCTTCGCCCCCCTTTCTTCCTTCCCTCCCTTTCTCCCTCCCTCCACACTCTAGAGGACCAAAAAACTGCATAACTAAATAACCATAACCTTTCGGAGGTCCGCGCGGATTTCTTGGATCCGTTCTGAACTCACCTGACTGACGCGCGGAGCGCGCCAGGGGCAGCGCTGGAAGCGCCGCATGAGGGTCCCAGCGCAGATCCGAGAAGTCCGTGCGGAGCTCCGAACAATAATTTGTATGCAATTTTTCTTCGTCGACCCTCCCCCTAGATCTTCAGCGTCTGTGCACCGGCGCGTTTGCATCCTCGCCTCTTTTCGCTATCTCTCTGAACGTTCGCTTAAAGCGGTCTATTGCCAGTGTGCCATCTAGGCGCGGCCTCTTCCTGTACGGTCCACCGGTAATTCACCGGCTGTACGCATGAGCGCATGAGTGACCCCAGCCAAGAGTGACCTCTGGTAGGTGTCGACATCCGAACCCTACCCTCACCATCGATTCTCCTCCATCGATGGGAGGCGGGGATATGCTTCGAATTTCGCCACGTGCTCGACGAATCCCGAACCCTACCCCCGCCGCACATCCAGTTGCCTCAATCGTCGATCGGCGAAGGTAACCACGGTTCGGATCTCGCCGCCGATCTGGGGCGCGGCACTGGAGGGGCAACGGGGGGACCCAACCTGAGCGCGCAGGCCAGTGCTGGGGGGGACCCCTGCGGGCCCGCACCAGGGGCCAAGGGCCACTCCGGCAGAGGGCCACTCTTCCCTGAGATCCGACGCCCCGCCAAATCGAAACGTCGTGGCAGATCACGCCTGGAGCCCTGGACCCCCTCTCTCTGCGCCAACTTTCCAAGCGGAATCCATCTCCTCCTCCTCCTCCTCCTCCTCCTCCTCCTCCTCCTCCTCCTCCTCCCCCTCCTCCTCCTCGTTCTCGTCCTAGTCCTCGTCCTCCTCCTCCTCCTCCGAGGGTCCCGGGGCCCCGAAACTGGGCGAAAGCAGCTGGCTCGAGAAAAAGGGAGCCGCCAGGATCTCATGGGGAGGACGGTCGCGTCGACGGCGCCACTTCAGGACTTTGCTGACTGGCACGCCGGGAGGGCCCCAAGGGGCGGGGCCCGGCCCCGCCGGGAAGCAGGGGAAGGCACGGGGCGCGTCAGACTGCAGGCCAGAGAACTCGCGGGCGGCACGGGCGTCCGCCGCGCGCAGCCACGCTGCGCACGGGGTGGGAGCAGTGCACCCTGCAGCAGCATCCTCCCTTCCCCCATCGCGCCCCTGTTCACCCAGACAGCCAACGTTCCCCCAGATCCTGACGATTCAATTTGTTCGAACCGCGCGTTTCCGCCCAGTTTCGGGCCGCGAGACCCTCAGAGATGGATCCGGTTCGGAAAAAAATGACGCAGAAAGAGAAGGTCCTGGGCACCGGGCGTGATTTGTGACGATGTCTCAAGTTTCTCGAGACGTCGGATTTCAGGGCTTCCCCCTTGTGCCCCTGTCAGACAGCCAACTTTGCGGTTCTTGCACAGCGTACCTCCCCAAAAGAGGTGTGGGCCCCTTCCTGGGGGCGGGCTCTTCATCCTAGACGGCTGGTGAAGGCATTGGGCAAGGCACCATTGGATACGGAATCCAGGGCATGGAACCCGAGGGAACGCCAACTGAGGCTTGGCCATGGATATCCCGCTAACCTCATCAAATAAAAATCCATCCGTAAGTGGTTTCCCGACGGCCACAGGGCCTGGTATAGAGCCCCCAGGGGCCGAAAACGGCCGAAGACCTTCCGCCGTGAGTTTTCCACGACGCGAAGACGTCAGGAGTTGCTGGGGTCGTGGAAGAACTGGGCACCAACACCAAGAGAGGGAGGTGCCTCCACTGGGAGGAAAATGATCCGACATTTTGGCGTGGGTGGTCCTATTTCGGCCACGGCGGAGGTGCTTCCACCGGAGGTAAGAATCTCAGATGGCTCTCTGATAGCTCCAAGGGTTTAGAAGCAAGCAGCGCAAGGTGGCTCGGAAACTCTTCCCGGCGCCGGTCAAGCAGCCTCGCAGCGGCTTGCTTCGTGTCCCGAGAAGAGTTGTCCTACTCGTTCCCAATACGCGTGCCGGAAGCCTTTTCCGCAGTTCCTTTGAAGTTCCTTGCGGGTTCCTGCGAAACTCCTTTCTCGAGCCAGCAAGCTCCCCAGACATCCTTTCAAGCGTCCTTGGAAGCGTCTCCTAGAAGCGTTTCGCGCGCTTTGGACCGCACCGCTATCTGGGTTTTGGACGACACAATATGCCCTGACCTTCCAGAGGGCTGTGTTGTAGCACTGCAAGCCTAAAAACGGAAAGCCCTACACAACATATCATAAAACCAAGACGTATAATAGCCTTGGGATGGGTTTTAAAGTGCGGTGCAGATTTTTCCCTTTTGGAAGGTCAGCGTGGTGATGGTGGTCCTACCTCGGCAACGGCGCCCGAATGTCACCACCACCGCCACCAAGGTCGGGAAGCCTCACCCCTCGGTGGGGCCACGCCGCCGATGTATTGCTGGCGCTGGTGCTGGCAGGTGGCCGAGGAGGGGGATGAGGCCAAATCCGCTCGACCCCCGGACCCCTCCCGGGGCCATTTGAACGGCGAAAACATTTTTTAAACCCCGGCAAATTCACTTGCGTGGAAGGGGAGGGGGGGGGGGGCGGAACCTGAAGCAACCCGCAAACGACACGCACGTGCGGAAATCACGCAAGTCGCAAGGCACCTGCACGCTAGTATTCGTTTGAAGAAGCAACGGGGGGGGGAACGCCATGCAAGTAGACTTGCCTGAATGTGGGAAAAATCAGCTCCGATCAATAGTCACGCCTGGGACCCTGGACCCTATCTTTCTACGCGCCTGGTTTTCCGAGCCGGATCCATATATGTGACGGTCCCGGGGCCCGAAACTGGGCGAAAAAATGCCCGGCTCGAAAAAAAATGGAGTGTCAGGATCTCAGGGCAGAATACGGGCCCCGATCTCGGACCCCGTAAGTCGGGGGCGGCCAAGAGGGGGGCGTCCAAGAGGGGGGGCGGGACTGTACGGGAATAGCTGTATGGGTACTGAGAGACACGAGGTTAAAAATAGGGGGTCCCGTGCTAGAAGACATCACGTTCTCTTTCCCTTTACGGAGACGTGGGCGCGTCCGTCACCTGCGCGCCACGTTAGCTCAAGGGCCCTTGTGAGCCGATATGGCAGCGCTCAAGGGAGCACAGAGAGAGGCTCACGAGGAGCAGAGGCTGACAAGGGCCTGACAACCACAGCTCCTACCTTTCTCGCAGCCGAAACGCCGCCGCCTCGCCCCGGAAAATGATGTTTTTCCTCTCTCGGTGGGTATCGTAGACATTCCATGTACCACCAGAGCCTCAGTGACGTGCAGCTGGTACAGCTCGACGAACACGTTGGACTTTAGATCATATCTGAGATCCTTGAAGGGATTGCCCGGCCCGTGGTCCATGATGAGGTCTTCCGACTTCGCTGCTTCCGTAGCCCGCCCCATCTAATCCATGAGGCTCTGTGGCTCGATTCCGCGTTGGTCGTGCGGTTTGCTCGTGCGCTCCAGGAAACGATCTGCCACGCTGAACTCTTTGGTCCACTGAGGAACCCATCTCTCGCTCCTGGGAACCAGCTCGACCTCGAGAATCGGGAAGTCGGAGTCCTCGATCGCGTCGTCTGAGTACGCGTGTACGGTCGGAAACGCTGTCGGGGTGGCCTCTGCCGCGAGGTACACCCTGACCGTGCGGCTCCAGACCCTGCACCATCCGACGACTTGCTCCTTCGCATGTAGCTTGTCCCAGATCTCCCTCATTGCCGCAGTGTGGATCCAGAGCGCACTGATGTAGACGCAACCTCCATTCTGGCACCGCTGCTTGTGGACATGCATCTTGGGATAGCCTGCGCGACGGTAGCAATCCACCTGCTGCTCAAAGATGCAAAAATGCAGGTTCATCTCCGGGCCAACGTCAGACGACGCATGCACTACGCAGTGGGTGATAGAGGCGCGGCGATATGTTCTTTCGTAGAAAATGCCGCATACGCTTTCACAACTCAAAAGTCTTGGCTTCAACTCGAATGGGCCCTCCTTGCTCCAAGTAGATGCCAGTGCTGCCAAGCTGGCACCGTGGTAAGCAGTCTCTATCTGGGCCTCCTTCTTGTTGAGCTCCTCGTCACGCTGCATCTCCCTAACGCATATCGGCACCAAATCCATCGCCCGCCGGTGTCCGGTTGGATGCGCCATTGGCCCCTGGACATGAGGGCCGTCGATGAGTCCTGAGAGATGTTCGCGGGTAAACCGGGCGCTTCCGCCCAGAGCCGACGCGACCAAAACAGTTATCGTGAAGGAGGGTGTCGAGCAGTAGGTGGCCTCTCGTCAATTCGGTCTTGTGACCCGTCTCACAGCGGTCGCTGATCATCTGGTTGAAGACCCTGTTGCTCTTTCCGGACAGCTTGTAGGCCTTCCTCCAGTGAGTACTGACGTACTTTTATCAGGCCCAAGAAATATCCCACCCATCGCTGCTGGAGGTCCTTTCAGTCCTGGAGCAGCGGCGCAGTGATCAATAGCCACCGCAGCCTTCATGGCCGCGGAGACAGATCCGCCCATTGGTGGAAAATTCTGGAAACCTTTGAGGATCCCCACTGCATCGTCAACTCGCCGAGGTTATCCAGCTTGCGTGTCATTTCTGTCCTTCGCCTTCCTCGCCGAGGATGTCGGCCTGGCCCAAGATGTCCTCGATGGCCTTCTCACCTTCTTTCACCAGTTTCCCCCAACCGTCGACCATCATATGCTGCTCTCCTCCTGGGGGGATGACATAGGTTTCTACCGATCTTCAAAAGTTCGTTGCAATTCATGTTGGGGACGATGACTAGCGCTGCAGGTCCCCAGCGATGCAGGACTCTGAATGTCGAAGGCGACGAGATCTGACGCTGGGCGAGGGTCGGAGGGGTCGTTGACCTCGGCGCGAAAGATACCCGCACCCATGCCCCGGCGGCGCGGCAAAGGGGCGGGGGGGGCGACGCGCCGCAGCCGACGGCGGTTGCACAAGTGCAGATGCGACGGCCGATGGAACGCTAGAGGGGGCTGTCTCCTCTGGGCATCCGCTGGCACCGAAGGCGCGTGCGTTGCAATCGGCAGAGTGGCCGACCGCGCATTGGTCGCTCTCGGGCTAGAGTCAGAGTAACTCGATCGGAGGTGCGCCCACGAAGGCGCACTATCAAGAGTCCGGGGCTCGACGCGCAAAACGCGTCCTGGGTGTCCCGGGCGGGCGCCGCTGCAATCCCACGTTCGCCCCAGACGCCTGGGGCCCCGAACGCCAGGCGCGGTCGCCAGGGGCTGCCCCCTGGAACACTCGCCTGGGGTCGCCCCAGCTGGGTCCGAGCACGCGTCGGGGGGCGCCGTCGCCGACGCGCGTTGATGGTTTCGCCGGAGACATGCCCGCGCCTGGTCGAGGCGTCGTTTGGCCGAAATCGCTCTCGGGCGGCCGCGACGGCCCCCAGGGGGTGCGAAATTGCAACGACGCTCCTGCGGGCAGGCCCACACGCAACGGAGTGGTGGTGGCTGCCCCCATATGAGACAGGCACGACCACTTCAATGCTGGTCTAGACGCCGCGGACACACCCGATGCCCGCAGAGGTCCACTGACGCAAACCAAGGCATGTCGCTGCAATCAAGCAACCAGCCATTCAGCGTGTCGTTGCGCCCTGACTCGCGGATGCTGAGACAGCGCGCACGCGGCAGGCTGATCGGGCGCAGTGGCAAGCGCCCAATCCAGCGGACGGCCCTTTTCACCCAGGCCGACCCCGGGTAAGGGTATGTTTGGGACCAATCAATGAGTAGAGGGCCTCGTAGTCACCAGTCTCGTCTCCTGTCTCCAGGTCGTCCTGCGCGATTTCGCACTCGAGCGCGTTGCGCGACCCGATCAGGCTCAGAGCGATGTCGACTGGCATTCGCGTCAACAACTTCAGCCCAACACGGAAAGTAGGCTGTCTCGGGCGCTGATGGTGCACGGCCATCATCTCCGACGTGGGGTCGTTGAAGGTCGCGCTGAAGCTCGGATCCTGGGCGATCGGCTGAGCGCAGCCCTTTAGTGCAAACTAGTAGATCACATCATCCGTAGGCCAGAATCCGTCCTTTCGAGTTCGGATGGTTCGTCCTTCGTCACCTCCGACTGCTTCACCATGCCTTGCTTCATCTGCAGAATCCTCTCCTCTTCCACCTTCACGGTGTAGTCCGGTGGTTGTTTGCATTCTGGTAGAAGGTCTGGCAGCGCTTCGAG